ACCATTAAATTGGCGCCCAGCAATCCTTATACTATCACATCATAATAGGATCTCATATCATTAACTATGCTTAAGTTTATGGCCACGTCTGCAACTAGTTCGAAGGATTCGGTAATACTTTAAATTTCATTTCAACAAAGAATATGGAGGCCAAACAAAGGTTGTAGAGATGGCTAATGTTCTTTTTGTTTGGCACTGTTTAGATATTCTAGCTAACTCTACCTTGCAGAAAGAGACAAGTCAATTCGTTTACCAGTTAAATTCCCATCTTCAGTGATTGGAAATGGATTGATCTGAAACGAGAAATACCAGCAAACTTCGTTCTGTTTCATAAGTTGTTAGGTATTATATGTGTCAGTCGTATTCAATCTAATGATTGTATCTGTTGCGTAGCTTCGTATATTCGTGAGAGGTGACCAATAGAATTCGCTGACCTATCAATAACAGAACATACATTTGTAGATGTATTTAGAGGTTTATTTGATCATCCGCAACCACTTTGTTGCTAACGCACATTCAATATTCTCAAGGAAGGCAGTTTAAATTTTGCAGATTTCTTCAGTTGAATGTCTAGAAAAAGGTAAACAGTAGTACTAGCCTATACTTATCGATAGACTTACCGGTACTCTATAAAGTTCATTGTTTATTAGTTCTTTAACGAAAAGCTGAGACTAACGCCTTCCAGCTATTAAGCCGTACAATAACCGGTGAGATTGTCCATATCATTAGCGGGTTACTTCTAGCGATGCCTCTCAGCATGTTGCGCTCGAATGGCTTTGGTCAGAACAAGTCACTCGAATGATGTGTCGGGATGCATTAAGTTAACATTAACGATAATAGTAAGCATATGCTAAAATAATTCTCCAAAAGTGCAAACTAGTGTTAAGACGTCTGTGATCCAAAAGACAAAATAGTCAATCTACTAGGCGCTCCTGTGCACCTGACAAAAATATGAGTTGACTAATCACAGTAAATATCCCTTGGCTCTTTCGTTACACATAACGCTTGTTTAGACCAGATTCATCTTGACTTAGTAGGACTCTGACCAGGCTCAAACGAATAATCTTATCTCCCAACATGTGTGGATCATTTCACACGATGGCCAGAAGAAGTACCTATTAAACATATTACGACGAAAACGGTGGTCTACGCTTTCGTCCATTGATAGGCAGAAAACTTCAGCTACCCTAAAGCTATTACTACAGACCGTGAACCCTAGTAATAATCTGCAGTTTTCATGTCTATTTCTACTCTAATAGGAATCATTTAATGCAGAAAAACTGCCTATCATCAACAAGCTAATGTGTTGATAGGACTATTTTACTCTAAGATTCAAGCGTATCATGACGACCTGGATCTTTTCCACTTATGTGACTCAGTATTTGTAATTGAGTGAATTTGAAGTTGAGTACTATGCAATAAAGCTCGTTTGTCGCAAGACATTTCTACTTACAGGAGAATTAGTAGATCATTCATCGTATTCAATGAATGTGGGTCTAAACTTTTACGTAATTGGGCTTATAAACGCTATAACTTCAAGGAAACCTGTTTCCACGCAACCGCAATTGACTGATATTTTGATAGAACTTGCCTTACGACATAGTACACTGGTTTTCATGCAAGGAACCCTTTAATTTCCTTCATAGCCCACATAAATACTGCATCATAGACAAGAACGGAACTAACTCTGACATCAGCCATGACCTTCTCAAAGCCACGTACTCAAAAGAAAAGCCCGTTTGCGTTGGCTTTTCTCCTGTATAATCGGAAGACACTAGCCTCCATTTCCGATGCCCTTCTCGATAACCAATAATTACGACGGAACAAAAAACAACTCACTGTGAAGGCTAGTGGGGTTTACTGAACACTCAAAAGACCACTACACGTAGGACATTATAAAACTTTCTGTGTAGTTTTTTGCGTCCTACAATTATTTGGTCGTATTTTTTAAAAATTAACTTATCGAACACAAGGATATCGTTTTATCTTTCTTATGTGCTAACACATGTATGTATCTTACACGTCTTTTAAAGATCTAAAAACATTTTTGTGTGAAACATTTTCACGTTATCACATGATATATATTCATATAAGTGCTGGGGTTCTCACATGCCTTATATCTTCAAGAGCGTAATAATATATTCCGTCACGCACTTAGACTTTCATTTTTTTCCAGGATGACTAGGGAAAAATGATGAGGAATACAAAGGATAGAAATTTCCATCGTACATTTTTAATTGTTATATTGCATCACATGGCTCCTTATATTGAGGAAAGAGAACTAAATGCTTCTGGACTTAACAAGCTACCAGTCGAGACCTTACCAACGGATCGCTCGTTAAGTTTAATCTTCCGACCGACCATGTCTTAAGGCCACCACTGCTCCATTAGGGTGAGAGTGACCTGTAGCGTTGAATAAATCCCCCAAGAAGATATGTCTTCAACATTGATACTGACCTCATTAATTCTGCTAGGTACATCCTAGCTGTAGGCATTCGGTCATACATCTGCACCTGATCGCAAGTTGATACGCCAAGCTACGCATTCCTTGCAACAAGTACGCGGCTTAGATAAAGCAAATCTCATCGCATTGACAACTCCAAAATATATAATCGAACTCATTCAGCCCTGACCTCTGGTTTGACTGGTTTAGCATCTCACAGATTGAAATCATGAGTCAATTGAAGCTAGACCACCATGGAAAACCTAGAAGCACTGAACAGCCGTTTCGTCCTAGTATGGGACTCCTCAGCAGTGCGCATCCACGATCCGCACCCCGCGAGATCTGAACCCAAGACCTATCAGTCTCGCGCCAGGTGCTTAACCAACTAGACCACTGAGCCGGCATCCAATTATGTCAATGTCTAACTTCAACCAATCCACGGAGTTGCGCCACCGTACACCATTGTCTTCAGTGAGTTGATATCTTACAAGAGACCTGATTGACCTCCACTGGTAACGGCTTCTCACTAGAATTCCTGGAGTATCTGGTTTAGCATCTTCCAATCACAAGGGTGTTTCGCACCAAAGCGTTGTAAAACATCAACTATCTGAGGCATCTTTAATCATGGACAGCCGTATTGCATTAATCTCACTAACGCCAATTTCATAGACCGATTAAACCATGAGCCTGAAAGTGCGAAACACCTATTAAAAATTAGTGCCACTTGAGAATCTGTGAAATTTCGAACTCACATACGGGTTAGTATTAAGGAAACCAATATCCGTGAGCGCAGAAACGTTACCGGGATGTGACAACGCCCGACCTACAATCCCGAAACAATGTACGAAAGCCTATTCATGCTATCACAAGATTCACTACAACTCCTAGGAGAATAGAAGCAGGCCATTCCCCAATCTTTAGTGGGGACGATAGAAGTGACCTGACCTTTTGAAGACCAGTTGCATCGCTCCGAATCCTGTCGAAGGTAATGGAGACAATTAGATAAAAACAACAACCCTCACAAATCCCGATATGTGTGCAGGAAAGTCAGGTAATGTGAGTCTAATACACTCATAGCATGGGAAGTCTAGACGGCCTTCTGGGACCATAAGAAACTGACTCGTGCACTATTCCCCAATTTCTAAAAAACCTTAGACATAGCACCACCTGTACTCCTCATAGCGAAGGTTGAAAAGGTGGTTTAACCAGATCACTCTCATCCTGGCTTCAAAACTACCCGGAGAATAGCATGTTTGTTACTAAGATAAATAGAGTGGAGGTAGAGTAGAAAGTCTCATTATCTGAACTATGAAGACGATGAAAAGATTTGGAGGTCCATGGAAAGCAAAAACACCTCAGGTTTCATAAGGTCCTCACAATAATAGAGGAATGGACAGTAAACAATTAGTTAAAACTTAGTTTTTCGAAACATCATGTCATGAACATCACCCGTTATTTTACGCAAAGCGCCTACATACTAAATAGAAATCCGCTCCTCACCGTCTCCTCAGAGTGTGGTCTCGGTTTTTTAACTACGGGGAGCTAAGACTGCAGCTCAAACTATATGGAAGATGAAGTCAATGTTAACAAAACTTTCCACCGAATTCAGAGACAATTTGTGCAATCCACCCATGTTTGTTTGAAAAGTATGCTAGGCTCTACCTAGAAGCCAACAATATCATCGCACCTCCTCTTCATGGGAGATGGATAACCATGCGTGTAGAAGGCCTAAAACATAAATCCTTCGAGGACAGACTCTAACTCCTGAGACTGTTCTTGTTGAACTTCAGGAGAATAAAAGGGGATCTAGTAATGGTGTAAAACATATTGAGCACATCGAACACAAATACATTACCAGAACACTATCATCAAGCTCCTCGAGGCAACCCTCGAAAGATTGCGAATCAAAGAGAGAACACTCTGATACGCTCTAAATTTTTCTCATTATCGGTTGTCACAATTGAAATGCTCTTCCAACCAAAGTAGCTACATCCCTATCAGTCAATAGTCTCAAGAAAAAACTTGACAAATGCATACTGATTCATGCTTTACCGTATCCCTCTTAGACCAACTGTGTATTTGATAAATTACCCCAATTACGACTACCACACAACCAGTAACTACGTCCTATCTCTCTCATTGTCATCTCCGTTTTACGTCTTATCCTTTCAATTCTCTCCTCATACACATCAACTTGGTGAATTGTTGATTTATACGTGAGATAATTATCTTCGCTTAGCAATCGAATCAACACTTTGTTATTTTTACATAATAACTAAACAACCTCTTACCTGATAACATGATAACTGACGGTATCTGAGATCTATACTCCCTTGAGATAAACTCACTCACTCAACTTCAAGGCATATGAACCCACAAATAACTACCACATAATAGAATTGATGCAGTTGAGTGCTTAAACTACTATCCAACACATGGTGCCGCTCCAAAACAACAATGAGCAAATGCGAAGAAGCCAATCTATCGATTCAAGCTTGTGGTAAAGATATTGTAGATGTCAGTTTCATAGTTTTAGTATTCCATTTTATTAGGTTTTACAATCACCGGTACTTTAGAAAATTGTGGTACCGGGTGTTCAAGTTATGAAAACTGTCGGACATTGTAGATAATTATCTAATTTATTTTTGAAATACTGCTTGGTTTATCAATGTCGCTTATGCACTGGCTTACTGAGTATCGTATTGAGTCAAACTAATGGATAATGAGTTTTTAAAAATGAATTCAGAAGAAGTCCACAAACCCGGAACCAGGTAAAATTAAATCACTTTCAGTTTATTTTTGTGAAGTAGAATATTTAAAAAGTCTACACCAAATGGAAAGGTAAATCTTCTTCTCCAATTTTTATTGATTAGTTGACAATCTACCTAGGGAAAAGAGACTTTATGGACCATTTAACTCACGTGGATCCCATAGGTAAGTCGTATAGAGTTTTCTTTTAAGGAGAAAAGCAGCTGCATTTTGTCTCTTATAGCTTAAGGCGTATGTGCGTAGCAATGCGTTTAAGTATACGTATGCATTTGTCTTTGTAATGAACTACCGTATCGTAGTTGATTTCCTTGCGCTTGTATAGTGGTTTTAAAAAGCGCTTTTGTACAAGTCAACCATTATTGCTTGGTTAGGTCAACAGACTCTAGAAGCAGTATTCAGTTGGTCTTTTGTGGTATAGGTTTTGAGTTTGCTTTATGTCTTTGTGGTAGTACATGTACGTTTTACTATTGGAACTTACAATTACATAACCCTGTTTGGTGTTCTGTTTCACTTAGTCGAACAAATCACTACACGACGAGAATATACACTCCTTGTTTCAACAGTAAATCAGTTCAAAATCATAGCTGTGGAAAAATTAAGATTTAGAGGGTTACAGTAGTACTAAAAACACAATTTAAAGAAATTCAAAGCATAAGTACATATGCTCCTTGTACATGTATTTTTAGCTTTGGTCGTAGCCTATACTCTTTGTATCGGCTTCAACTAGAGTTTGAATCTTCTACAGAACTCACTTTAACACCGATATTTTATTTTCATTAACAAAACTCAGTTTAGATGCCTAATACACTTCTTAAGCCTAGTTCAACCACCATAGCGCTCCGAGCTAGGTGGCTGTTTAGCCATAAAACATACATATATTGGAAAAGTCACCTCGTCTGAACCTCACGCAACCGATGTTAACGATCTTTTTGTTACCGTATTGAGATTTCTTCAGCTACCAAACCACCTGTATTGATAAGCTTTCTAGAAGTGCATGGAAAGTAACATTGGTTCAAACCATTCCTGATGCAGATGTCTGCGTTAGTCTGTGTTTCAAAGTGTGCTAAAAATATATTTAGTTTTTCGGTGCAAATCCTGTTTCTTAGATTTTAACAATTGTTTCTGTACTAACGACTTAGTTTCCCTGGTAGGATGTTGCTTCACTTTATATATTTTGAAATCTTCATATGGGTTACATAAAATGGCCACCATTTTAGCTTGTAGTCGTTCTTAGAGGTATTTATAAGTTTACTTGCATTTTAAAATTGTCATGGGATATCTTCGCGACTGTGAAGGACAGGGTATCCTTCATAGCTCCTTACACGTTCTTAGGGCTGATTTTGAGGATAGCCCATATATTTGTGCTGAAATCGGCTCGCATTGAAGTAGTTTTTCATGGCTCACTGTCGTTAAATTCCGATAAATTGAGATATTGACTACTTAAAGCAAGGCATCCATCACCATTTGATGACTAGTCAGTTCAGCTTTTGGTAGGCAGTTTGTAAGTGTTGTTTGATATGTTGAGTTTGATTTCGCCAATACTTGCCAATTGTCTTCTGGTTTGGATTTTTTTACCTAGCTGGTTATATTCATATAGTAACAAAACAGAGGTAGACATTTTTAGACCGAAATTTCTAGTTCACAGATTATAAACCCCAAGTATAGTTGCTAATCATTTCATTGTGTCATTTGAACTTATGAGCCTTTAGAGATAACTGCATTCATGAGTTCATCGATAATGAGCTTCGGTTTTTTAAAGTATATACATACTAATTTTCATCCCTAAAATTTTTGGGAGCAAAGCTCATATTTCTGTGGTCTTAACAGAATCTAACCTCATGATTTGACCATTATGTGGATTTTTAATAAGCTATTGGTGTAAGTTTCTTGTAAATATGTTTAGTATACTGAAATTCAGTACTTATCATTTTTTTAACCACGTTTATGCGTTTTCATTTGTTATTAACATTTTCCTTAACCTTTTTATCTTTCCAGGAAGATTATTTTCTCGAGTCATTCTTTAGTTCATACTGGTTTCTTTTGTTGCTTTATTGTTCTGTATATAGTGTTATAGTTTACTTTTGTTCAAATTGTAAAACGTCGCGCATCTTAATCGGTTTGACATAAAAAGTAAAATTAGGACACCAAATAAAGTTTTTGCAAGGATTATCAGGCTTTTCAGGTATTCCACACAAAGCGTATCTTGTTTGTTTCACATGACTGTGTTTTTAGTTAACTTCTGGGTTCGCTTTTCGCTTTATTACACAAAAAGTATTTCCCATTCGTGTTATTGTTTCACACTTAATAAAATATCTGTAGTGTTCAATTTGCAGATTATTTATTGCTGTGAAAATTTTGTCACTTGGTTCTATATATTATAAAAATAAAGCTAGGTTCAGACATATTTACAACTTTTAACTTCATGTTTGTTTTGAATTTTCTCACACGTTATTTTGATTCTAATTTTTAATAGAGGGTGTTGTATTAGTGGATCCGGACTATGTCAAACATAGAAAGGTATTTGTACATCTTTTGGGTGCGTTCTGGTATGGCCGGGATGAAGTCGATTTGCTTGGACTGAATTACCATAAAGATCTTTGTCTGATGACTAAACAAGTGTATCCACCATTTGGCTCCAAGGTGTTGAAGTCTCATATACCAGTTCTTTTATCTGAAAATGGAAACGCTACTGAGCTGTCATCAAATTTACTAAACAAGTTCACTGAACCTCCGGGACGCACTCGATTACAGGAACGTCTAATTCGAAAACTTGGTTCAAATGCTTTTCCTTTTTACTTCCAGGTAATTTAACCAAAACCATATTTGGGTACTTATAGCTGATGTTAGTTGCATGTATTAAAAAACTCATAGAGTCAAGTGTTTTTGTCTTTTAAGGAAAATACGTCACAGTTATCTTCCTAGTGTTGGTAAGTAATTGTTATCTTAATGGTCTTTTATTAGTTAACTAAGTTTCATAAGTTCGAATTGCTTTATAATAGTTGAAATGCTTATAGACAGGGTTTATTTGGTCTCAGTTTTAAGTTTTAGCTATTGGTTTTACATTTTTGTCCTCATTCGACCGACTAGTATGTTGACCTCAATGTTATACTGTTGGCTTTCATAAAGCCTTGAATGGTTTCTAAATCTAACGAGTCTGACAACTTCCAGACCGTGTAATGCAGAGTAACTATATGCTTATTATTTGTTAACAACTAACGGAAAACCACATACATGGGTTTATTACTCCTGAGTTGTCAATCATCTAGTTGTGTCAGAGACCTTTTTTAAGTCACTTGAATTTTCGTGCTGTTTTGTTTTTCACACAGTTTTAGATGCGTTAACTGGTCACTAAAGAGCACTTAATGTCACAATGTGACATCCGAACCTTTCATTTCATCAAAGCATCTAAGAAGCTCTTCCGTAGTAGGATGGTGAACTAAATAGCACCAGTGTACTATATCTTAGGTAGGATGTAATTCTTTTGTAGACATATTCGCTTCACTACTGGACAGTAATTTACTTTCTGATTGTGTCTCATTCCGTGCAAATTACACAACACCGAGCAATTTCATTTGGAAAACTTTTACTTTCCTTTTATCATTGATATATATGCTACTTGTTATTTTATCCCTTACCGAATTTTCAGATACCTGGTTTATATTTTATTCTCTTTCACAATCGTTTCTAGTGGTTAATAAACTGGGATTCACTGGTTTATTTATCCAAGAATGAAGTAATTAGTAGAACTATTTACTTTCTGTAACTTAGTTTGTGTGCTCAGGTGCTTTATTAATCCTTTTAGTAGATCTTATTTAACTTAATCCATCTTTGTGTACCTAAGATTTAAGACATCTTGTGTGAATCTATAGGCTAGAAATGACTAATCATGACATTCTTGATGAAGATCCAAGGTCTTGACAATTACATTTTCTGTTTCTTAGTAAGAATAATACCATTTTGTTCCTCCGTTGATATTTTTGGTAATTTATTGTTATCAACAAAAATATTGCGGGTTATCACTGTGGTCGACTATATATTCGTGATTTTACAGTTTTGAGAATAAATTCTGTGAAAATAGGATTCTTCCTCCAACTTAAATGTCTTGTTCCATTAGATATGTTACGTAATATTAATTAAGTTCACCGATACCCTACTCACGTTGATCTATGAAGGAGCATTTTCGGGTCGATAACTATGTTATTAATCTTGGTGCTTTAAATTAATGTTTATATCTTTAAATGTTTTGATCCTGTAGCTTCCGGCTTATTCACCTGCCTCTGTGTCCATACTATTGAACCCGTCTGATCGTGGAAAAGTAATTTTGAGTCTTTTGATTTTCCATAAAATTTATTTTGTTTATGATTATTTTAGAATAAGAAATTAGACCACATATACATTTGAAAAATATTTGATCTTTATATTTTTGGCCACACACATAAAGTTTCGATTTTTTCTGAAAGAATAGAAACCAGAATACTTAGTCGTTGAATGTCACTAAACGGTGTAATATGTATAGTTTCACTGACTAGGATAGTTGAGGTTACATGTGACTTGTGAATCAGACTACTTTTTAATATAAGAATAGTTAATACCGCCTAGTTTACAGGTTTATTCAAGACAGTTTTTGTGGCACAGTTACTCTTATGATACAGTAATAAATAGATATACACTATTAATACCTAATTTAGGATTACTTGCACGTTTTAATGTAAATTCTGTAAATCCATAAATTTTATAAATCGAATAATCTGATGATCCTTGAAAACGTTCGTGACGTATACTTTCTGTAGATTGGCTTTAGTATTTCATACAACTAACTTAATATGATTGTGATCGGATAAACGTGTTCACTCTTAATAGATTGATCTTCTGATGATAAGATTGTGAGATACAAAAAATTCTAAAAAATCAACATAACTACAAATGTACTCAGTTGTTTCAGGATTTATTTTCCAACCATTTGACTTCAGATTCAGATCACATGCTATGCACTTTAGTTTGAACCGACATGTACCTCTAGTCCTCACATGAAAAATGTGGCTGCCTAGTATGAAAATTTATGCTTGATTACTGAGTTATATCAATATTTTATTGCTTGTTATTCTATGATCTTTTTCAGAATTGTAATTCCTTTTACTATTTAATTTCACTTATATATCGTTTTGTCCCGTTTCGTAAATAAGTAAATGAGGCTAATGCTCCATATAAGTTTTTGAACTGTATATCTGTATCTATGTAGTTAGCCTTAAAACATCGGACCTTCAGTGGGAATGGATCAGTGGAATTTAGAGTTAACTTATATCACGAAATAACTTCAACCATCAAAACCAGCGAGTAATGGACAGTAGTTTTTGAATTCTAGTAGTGATCGCCTGTGACCTCACTAAGAACCGAACTAAAAACCATCAGGCTACATGCAGAATTCAATGCTCTGCATTTCTGATTTCATCTAGTTCTGAATACTGCTCGATCATTTAACATCATTGGTGTTATTTTTCACTCTTACTTTGGTTGAACTCCACTGACCAAAAGTATCACTTTAGCTTCGGTAATTTCTCATAAGTTGAGTTGCTAGTGAGCTTGTGATTGTTACTATCATAGTTTTTCGAAAATTGTTTTATTCTTTGGTGTTTTGGCAAGTTATAAAGTCATTTGACGTTCTCATGAAAATAGTACGAAGTTAAAATGGTATTTACTTCTCTACACATCGCTTATATTGAAAATTTATCGAAGCCAGAGATCCGTTGGTTGTGTTATTTTCTTGCAGTTAATAAAAAGTTAGACAGATAGACACATAAGTCATATACAATTTAGTAGTGTATCTTTTCAAAATGGTTAGCATCATTCCTTCAGTATAAAGCTTAACTATACTATCCTAACTATCTCATTAAAAAAGTAAATATGCTTTATAAAATCTACCTATATTCTCAATATTCCTACAGCGTTGTCGAGTTGAATATGAATTAAAGGTGTATGTAGCTGATGATCAGGATGATAAGCCACAAAAAAGGTAAATAAATTATTGTATATATATATATATATATATATATTTTCAGTTGTCTAGTGAAAGTAACCAATATGTATATGCGTGTTAGGATCATGTTATTTTTACAAGACTCAAGAAGGTGTATTATATTTTGATATTTTTTTTCTGGAAGTAATCACTCATATGTATATTCTCTTTTTCGTAAATTCACTACATGTAGGGAAGTTGTCATGATACTAATTGTTTCCTAATTTTTTTTGTGAAAAGTAACCAAAATGTTATGCTTAAATTTTATATACATCAAGTGACATGTGGTTTGTGGTCGACGTATTGATCCATGGCTTAATCTTGTATAAGAATCTAGTTAAGGTAAGAGTAAAGTAGTATTTATCTCATTGATCAGATCATGATAATCCTATGAAATGTGTCACTTGTTGATTAGTCTGGGAGTGTAAGATTCATTAGATGTTAGTAATCAGCGGTTGGAGAAGCAGGATAAAATAGTGAAAAAGCTTCACTGCATATAAGATCTTAAACATTTATTTACTGAGTTCTTTTTTTACACATTTAGTCATCACCATATAGTTCTATTTATTATTTTGTCTATTATTAACTTTTTGTTCCGATTTCCTTGAGAGATGTGGCAAATTAAAGTGATAAATCCATTGTGAGTCACAAAGTCTTTGTTCCGTTCTCAGATTAGGTGAACTCGTAATCTCTTCAAACACAGGAGAGTTAATATGTATAATATTTGAATATCGGTTTAAATGTTACGATAATTTTAACATACAAACTGTCAGATTAGAATTATCCTGTCACCGTTATTGACTGAATTTTGATCAATCTTGGTTAGTATATGTACATCCTGTACATTACCTATATCCAGGCAACGCACATAGATTGTATATATGCCAAACAAGACATTAAAGTCTGGTCAATAATGTCAGCAACAGAATAATTCAAACCTATTCTAATAATGATGTAAATTTAATCTTAGTGTCATAGAGATTTTATTCTTCATGTTACATATTTATTTTTATGCTAAGAGCCACCTATTCTTACGTATTGCAGTTTGAAAAGCTTTTTGTATGTCTGTAACTTCTAATCAGACTATTCTTTCTATTCACAAGATCAGCTGCATGTATTTTTCTGATTTCGTTTATTGATTATGATTATTTTTATTTTTTAAAGGTAGGGAAATATTTGATAAATTTTACCCAAATTTTAAGTTGTTTTTCTTGTGAGTACAGTTTAATCAATCACTTTGAGATGTACACATCCATGCATCTTGTTTGATTTTCAACTAAATTCTTCTTTCTGTCGAGTCAACATGGAGCCTGGCCTGATTGTGTATCAGTTCAGGTCATTACACTTCAAATCAGCACATCAAGATAAGTAAGTTGGCTGAGTAGGATACAAAGAAGAGGGAGGAAATAAGAAATAAATTGCAAACCTAAAAATAAGAAATATTGTTCAAATAGGTGAACAAAATCGAGCATTCAAAGATATGTCACAATATTATGATTCGAAATTAAAAGGAGTATGGAGGATCAATAAATATATACCACTAATTGAATAGATTTTGATTTGTATCTATTAAGGTTTCCAGTCATAGAATGCTACATTTTCCGGTCGTCTCAGGTGATAAAGGTTTAAAGCCTTAATAAACAACTATTTTGTTGTAAATCTAGTCAAGTGTTCAATAAGAATGAAACAGAATAATTTCAGTTTGTAAATAACTGTAGTATATTCCTTTTATTGTCGTTGGTCTATAATGTTTTCCTAAAATGTGCATTACTTTACATTCGCTTAATAGTGTTAGCAAACTTAAGTAGTGAAGAATCTGGAGCTAAAGTATATTAATTCAAGTTGATTTACTTTAAAACAATAGAATCAATGAAACCAGGGAATGGACTGAAGTAAACAAATGAATTTATTGGAAAACAGTGCCTGATTATGAATTACTAACATGGTTTGTTTAGGTTGGATTTAATTACATGCTGCTACTGATATTATATTTTCAAGGTGGTTACAGTTAGATTTGTACTTCATGTGAGCAGTGATGAGAGGGCATTAATTAAGTTTAAACCTTATTTATTTGCTTATGTACTATACAGTTTGCTTAACTGTTGATAATTAAACACATCTGTTGATGCAATATAAGTACTGTACAGGGATATTAGGTACCAATTGATAGTTTTGTATTTGGGTTGAGACTTCTCAACCAGTTCTTTCATGAATTACGGAAATTTATGTAACCGTTTAGACTACGTAGTAAATTAAAGCCGACTGGACCATTAATGCCTAATTATTAAAAAGTTTCCACAGCCTAAAAGCCGAAGTCATCAGTGATCTAGTGCAGTCAATCTCACTCGTTAATTGTTGCAGTCAAAAATCCTTTTACAGTAATCGTAATCTGACCAGCGTTTTTCCTCAAATCCTGTAATGCAAAGTTACATGATATCTAGTTTCTCGTAAGTGGTGAGCTTTGCAGAAGTATAAATAGATAAGAGAAAGTTTATAGATGACTAGTTCAATAATTTGTTTGTTAAATCACTGGTTGAGAAAGTTGTGCAAGTTTGCATCGAGTAGGTAGGTCACTTTAATACAAAGCAGTAAAACATTCACGCGGTGTATTTGAGTCTTTATCGGTTAGTTTGTTCACTCTTCATTTGTAGTTTTGTTTAATTCCACCCATAACAATGCTTTGTTTGATGTTTTCACCATCAGATAATTTGTAAATAGTTTTTGTGCAGTTTCAGAAGATTTATCTTATGTGAAACTGTTGACTCATTCCAGTCTCAACAGTATATAATAAGTAAGCTTAAATATGAAATCTATAGTCACTTCGCATTTAACAGCAATTAATTAGGTTACATTAGATTAGTTTAGCTAGTTAGGTCAATTACTTCACGCAGTGATCTCCTAAATAAAGGGATATTAATAAATGAGATTTTCTGTGTTTTTGTTTGTTCATTTCGTCTAGATTAATTGGGTACTGCAAAAATGTGTGGTAAACAGTTTAATTATATTGTCTTTTTTATGTAATATTGAGATAGGTCATTCTTTCATTTGTTTGTCTGACTTCATCCTTTTATTTTACGTTTATTCACATGATTGGTTAAGAAGAGCAAAAGGTTGTCTCGACAAGAAATGAATATGTAGTAATTTGAATTTTTTTACTGATAATGATTAGCTTAGGCATAAAATATGTTAAGGTAATTGTAGACAAGAAAATTAAGTTAGAAGTGATCTACATGTACAGATGGAAACTGATTTACACGTAGAGCATTAGCTCACTGATTAAAGAACTCTGCCAGTTTATAACTTGTTCAAAACTCGTCCCACTTGTTTCCGTCTTGAACTCTAGCTATTAATAATGCCCGTCACAGAACAATTATATGTTTAAGTGTCTAATAGGTAAGCTGATATTCGTGTACTGAATTTACATTAACACTTTCAAACAGTTGACTAAACAAAAGAACTTAACCTTTTTTAGATATTATGTTTGCGGTTCACATAAGTAATGTCGTACAAGTAATTTGCTGTAACCAATAATCAAGCTTATTCCACGTCACTGAATTCAATTTTCGTTCCTGCTTATCACATTTATCGAGTTATAACTCAATTTATTTCTCGCTGATACATCTTTTCTTTTGTATAGTTGATCGTTTAATTCCCATTTTGTGTTTATTGTGGTTTAGGAATTCCGTGCGTATGGCCGTTCGTAAATTGACATATGCACCTAATGAACCAGGTCAACAACCGTCAGCTGAATTATCACGAGATTTTCTTATGAGCGTAGGTAGTCTTCGAGTAGAAGCTACTTTAGATAAAAACGTAAGGGTTTTCGATTTCATTTATAACGTTATTGTTATTTTACTGATTTCATTTTTGCCGAGTTTCCTTAGTTTTACCTATTCACTTCTACATTTGGTTTGTCGGAAATTAATCTGCTCTCTTGAGATTTCACTAGTGACTTGAACTAGGCAGATAAAAGTCTTCTAAATGCTTTCAGTATGATTGTAAAATATTAAGTATTTGTCTGGCTCTTTATAACTCGATATATGTCTCAAGGATCGTCTGGGTTAATATCTAGTTTGGTTGTAGATAGTGAAGATCTTGATTTTGTCAACCAACTTACTTATCTTGCGAATTTTGTCACATTTTTCGAGTTAGTGGTTGACGAGTATTCGCAACGGACGTAAAACTTTCTCCTAGTTTTTACTAAATCCATGTGTGCTCCATAGTAATTGTGTGTTTGCTTATCAAGTAATGTACAGTACTAATTAGTTTGCTCTTTAGTACAGAATGACAGTGAAGTATAACCTTTGGAAATAAAGGACATGACTATGCTAGTAGTACCTGATCACAGATGTCTTTGATGAACTGTCCACATTCTGTAAATGCTACGTGGTAATTCAATTGATGTGTCTGAGAGGCCTCATTGATCAAGGTGTTTGGGGATGCGTAACACCCGTCTCAGCCACCGCACTGATCACTAGCATTGAAATGGGTCAGATAATGACCAAGAGGGACCTGGTAAAAAAGCATAGGACCAGTCCATAAAATTATTTAGTGTTATTCTGAGTCGTTTTGTTTGCACCAACCGTCAGTCTACTGGTCTGCTAGATAATCGTTAACCATAGTATTGTTGTTATGAACTCTAAGTTAGTAACATAGTTGGATTAATGTTTTATCTCCCTTTAAATCTTAAACATGATATTTTTCCATACCTTTCATTCCATAATCTTATTTGTTTTTTCTAAACGCTTCATGTATTTTGACTCCTACTACCGTCGTTGTTGTTATTTTGTCGTGCTTAATGTTCATTTTGTTACCCCTCTTAGTAATCGGCACTACACTTTGTTCTTGGTAACTTGTTAAAGTTATAGGCTGTTGATCTAGGGTCCGTAATTCAGACTTAGGTCCATCTGGAGCTTGTGTAACTAGACGTTATTGTTAATTTACACATGAATGTTGTAGTTCATAACTTGGTGCATACTTAAACTAGATTATTTCATAACTACATACAAGTTGATTCTTATATACAGTAGTGTCAGTTTTCAAACAGCGAACTTTCTGTTTACATTTCCTATTTTCATACATGCAACCGTGTGAATTTATATCATTGCACAAATAATGTATTTTTGATACTGAGAATCCGGATTTTCTTATCTAATTCATTGGTAACTAAATTTCTATTTCCTGATAATTTGTCATTATTCTGCTTTTAGATGTGATTATATAACGCCTCTTATTACAGTCGTTTATATCATTTTCAAACCAGATCACTTTCATCTAATCAAGTTTATGGTTCATGTTAAATATGCTTAGTATAAATTGCTGATATTTAACAAATTATCCTTATTATTGATAGGAATCGATTTTCTAAATTTCTATTATTTTATCAACTTGTTTCCTGTTTATGTAGTTTTCTTAATTATATTCAGTTCTTTAATTTATCAATTTGTTTTGTAATGTTAGTATAATTACTTACTCTTTTTAAAAGTTCTTTTACATAGAATCTGTTAAAATGGCAGTCATTACTACTGCCTGGGGGGGGGCGGGTAGCAAATAAGCGAACAAAATTAGGATAATGATGATTGTAATATGATTAAAAAAGATAAGTAGATAAGATTAGTTTGCTGTATTTAATTTGAAGTTATAGCATATAAAATTTCCAACCAGTTGAAAATTTCTTATACTTAATGAATCATTTCTTATTCGATAGTCACTGGCCAGTTAGTAACTGTTTTTCTCATGCATACATCATAAACTAATTTACTTTTAGATGATTATATATCGTAATTCTTTTTCGTTTAATTTTCCATTATACTATGCTGTAACTTATTTTGACAAGCATTCTTGTTATGTAGTTAGTGCAGGTACATTTATTTCATCTTTTATATGCTAAGTAATGCAATAGTTGTCAATATTAGTGAATATTTTTGATAATGAATGATAACAAGTTTTGAATCAAAGTTCAAGGCATTATGTCATCTTCTGGTAATCATCCAACATAAACTGTTGTGGAATTACGTTAGTATGGTTTAGTTGGATAGGTCATTTTCACCTACAGGTTTTGGTTGAGATCAAAAATCAGAGAATCGGTTTTTTATTACTCTACAAAGTGATTTTCATACTAAGTTTAACAAAGTTTTTCTCTGTATATAATTCTTCTGATTAGTCTGTAATCATCAAATTATACGTGTGTTTACAAATGTGTCTTACAATCCCAAGTAAATTATGTACTCACTTACATATAGACTAATATGAAAATTTCATTATACTTGGTTGATTGGTCGATCTATAATCTTTTTATCATTAAACTTCTTAAATGATGAGTATGTGTAAGAGATGTATATTGTTTAGTTTTTCTCACTATTATCTAACTGTTAACATTCAACTCTCTCTTGATAAATGATTATACTGGAAGATAAAATATACAATATTGAGCTGTCCAACCAAGCTGGAATTTACACATTCGCTTTAGTATATACACGTTTTGTTTTCGTTGTGTATATCCGAATTGTCAGCTTCCAAAACAATGTTCTTTAATTTGAACGACAATCTTGTTAAACAAATGGATCTATTTATTCTAGGTATCACTTGAAAACTCAGTGTAATCGATTTACACCAGAATAAATGTCCATTACTAGTATCAGTATTTGTTCCGTTCAAATTAAATCTATCAAACATTAAGTTCATTCTAAGCAAAGATGAATAGTGGCTGGCAGTGGGATCCAGGACTCGTGTTTCGTCTTATGCGGGAATCGTCAGCTGGATATACCTGCATCCCAGAGTTGATGTTCACTCCGGGGCTAGAACCCAGTACCGTCCGCCTCAAAAACCATTATGTTATCCACCTAGCTACTGAGCCCTGATAACCACTAGATTGTGCAATGGAGTGAAGTGTAAACTCATTTCGTACTGTTCGTTTGGATCTTAAGATTGATGTTCAGGACTACAATTGATCAGTTTCCACTGCTAGCCACCATCCATCCTTGCTTATAATTCTTGTAATATCAAGGCAACCCACACAAGATGCACATATGTCAACAAGAGACTGATTAATTACAGTCCTAAAAATCAATGGGAATTGAGTTCATTAATTTTGTGTAGTCAGTAATTTGATTTACTTCCAATGTACGTTACACTGCCTCAAGCATCTCCAAAATTGTCTAGCTCTAAACATGTTTTCATACCATGTTTCGCTTTTGCTTACTGGACATAACAAAAATGCGTACACAATTTTTATATTACTTTTACAAGAAAGTGTTGATTGAAGTATAAATTAATCTAGATATCAGCTATATGATTGTAATAAATGTGAAGAAATTAGCGAACCGCGTTTATTAAACCTGCAGAAAGATAAGATTGAACTAATGGATATATGGAGTGAGTGGGAGTAAAAAATTATCGTCATGAATTGCATAACCTCACCTGGAAATAACTCAATGAAACAAATATATAGAATTAATAGTGTTCGGGAAAGAAGAGCGGTAAGAAGAGATTTTCAGATGGATTTTAATATTGTGTGTATGAAGTAAAATCTTTTATGAATGTGAGTAATGGAAATTTTGTCTGAAATTTCGGGTATCTACTTCTTCAAATGAAAATAATCATTACAGAGAAATTTTTTTGCTTAGGTATGTTGTGTTAAATCCTATAATCTGAATGATTCAAGTGTAAAGCTTTCGTTGTTGTTCTAAACTGCAGTATAATGACCTATTTTTATTAAGTTAGAGATTTCTAATTAAACTATTTAGGTCGAAGCATACAATACCACCGATAACACAAGTAGTTCCGAGCCATCAAAATACTGTCTTTTTTATTGACTTGTAAACAACAACATCATGTTTAGTCTGAGAAATGACCAGTGATTGTACTTATGAACAGGTGTTTGGTCTCTGTTCTTAGTTTCAATAGCATAGTAATACGAAAACGAATCTTACTGTCTGTTCTTCTAATGTATGTGTTTGGATATGTATCTGAGACAAGAATTTGTCTACTTTTGATTGTCTCAATGTGCTGTTTAGCATAAATCAACTATCTTGGGGGGGGGTAATAGGTAGTTTTCAGTTAATCTCAAAAATCTCATAACAGTTGTTAGAAGATATATCCTGTTTCACGTCCATTCCCTTATTCTTATCTTCGTCTACTTAATGACGAATCTTCACAGATAACGATTATCATATAGACCTTTCTCTAGCTTATTTAATTGTGCGTCTGGTTACAATTTATTGTGTTCACGTTTAAGCGACATTTTAACTGAAGTTGTTATACTTAAATCAGCGTATGTAGATATTCTCAATTCAAGTAATTCAATGTTATTCATTCTTTTCTTTATAGTTTTTCCAACTTGTGTTAACCGATTTCATTCACAAATTAGTCTGTTTGTTCTTTTTTTCCTTATGTTAATCGGTTGATAAAGTTTACTTCTTTTCTCGCTTCATTTCTTCAGAGTTTATCAACAGAGTATATCATTCTGTCCATCTATAATTTTACTGTTATTATTTATTCATTGTATTTAGAAATACTTCCATGGAGAGAAAATTTTTGTCAATTTACTTGTGGATAATAATTCAAATAAAACAATTAAACGTGTTAAACTGTCAGGTTAGTAAATTTTGATAACAGTACTATTACTACGAATAATAATGATTAATTTATTTGCAATATCTCAATGAGTAGAAAATTTAATTTTTCTACTCAATTGTGAATACATCTCAGTCCTAAAGAGATCGGTCGCGGCCCGGATAACCCAGTGGTAACGTCTCTGACTGTGAAGCTGGGTGACACGGGATCGAATCCGTCAGGGAGCACCAGTTCCTTCAAGATTTCAGGTACACCTTGCAGATGAGTGCCAAGAACACGAAACCTGGGTCCAGGGTTTCCTGTTGACTACCTCCAACCACCATTCCATATTATTTATTTATGACAATCTACCCAGTGCTCAATTTATTCAAAATTATCAAGTCAAACCTTAGTAATGTTACCTACGAATAATAATGGTAAATATTGTCAACATTTTACGTAATTAGTCTATAAAATTATTCGTGTAAACCTGTTACTTTTTTATTGTTTTCGAATCAACTGTGCTTTTCTTCCTTAAATCAAGGATTCTGTTATTTCGATCAGTCTATGTTTGTAATTTACAACAATTGATTTCTTTTTGTATAATAAGGACATGTTTTTTCGTTAGTTTGTTGTACTTAATTAACTCAGATAGTATCTTTTATTTTCATTCTCAGTTGATTATTACTATTTCTATATAAATATATTCAATGTTTTCGTCTACATTCATTCTATTAAATATATTACTGTTTTGCAAACATGTTATCTATGATTACTTATATTATAAATTCAGTATTAACACCATAGTGCTTGATAATTTCTCAATATTTGAACAGTATTTAAGTTAGATAATTTGCACACTAAGCTTACATTATTAATTCGAATTTGAACTGCTTAGTAGTTCATTATTATTATTATTATTATTAGCTTTATTCAACATTATATTTTTGGTACAACATAGAATTCTCAGCATAAAGTATTTTAACAAGTTTCCTTTTCTTATACCTTGATCTATTGTGACGATAAATTTTGAATGATGACCGGTTAGATGTTAGGAGTTCGGTAATCCACATTTGATTAATGTTCATTCGTTTCAATGCATATTGCCGGCCACCATGATGTCGCTGATTGTGCCTTTTTGTATCACGTATAGCGAAAGGTTGTAAACTTTTCATAAACGCGCCTGAATAAATTGTGCGCACAATAGACATAATGTTGTGCTAAAACAAACAACAAAACAGATAACTTGATGAAATACCTACATCGTAAGAACAGGTAGCCCAGATATTCAAGCAGGCCGCCATTCTTTTTAAAGAAGATTATCTTTCCAAGTTGTTGTCAAACTTCACTTATATAATATCACTCACTACAGTGTGGTTGTATATCGACTAACTAAAGTTTTTAGAGTGCATTTGGAAGTGTTATGTTGTCAGATAGTATTTTTCAAATTTTGTTTACATATATGTTGGCTACCTTTGTAGATAGGAAGATTGGGAGATAGTAATTACGACAACAACTATGACAGTAGATTTAGACTTCCATTTGTGTAGTAATATCTCTTCACTAGGCTGATTCTGAAGTTTTTAACACTTATCTATTTAATATCTAACTTATTTTCATCCAAATAATGTTGATAAAATGCCATTTATTCTGTGAATAGTTTGATAACCTTCTTACTCTAGTCAGATGATTTCTCTATATTTACGAAAAGATAACATGTGATTTCTCATTTCATACGTAAATTGTAATATATCATATCCTAAATTTATATATTTATGTTTATTATCTTACTTTTTAAATCAAAAATTCTCACTTTGGTCTTTCTTCTAAGTTCATTGGTTGAAAAGATGAGTAGTTGAAATTGAGTATGATTAAAAGTAGTTCAGAATCAAGTTTCTACCAATCAACCATTCTTAAAACTTACATAACGTTTCGGTATATGAATTCATTGTCTACCCAGTCGGATCGTGTTTTTATGTTCCAGGCTTGTAAGTTGGCATCTGAGGAGGATGACCGTAATTTTTAATGATTACAGACATTAAATGACATGTTCGGTTTCAACTGTTTTTACTCTTTATCTACTTCTAAATTTTAATCTCAACAGCATCTCGTACTTTTCATTTTTAATTCATTTTAAACTGTATTTCTCATTTCGCTACCTGTTGCGTTTGATATTATTTTCCTTCCTCCACGTATCATCTTGTGACTTTCTTCACTCATTGTGTTGGTTTGAATTGTGATAACTTACACCAGTCCATGTCCTTACCAGATCCAATATTGTTTATGATAGTTTAATTTGTTGACTGCCGTATAAATTGTTCGGCATAAATAATCAAATTTTACAATGACTAGTCTACTAATTACAAAACATGACAATAGTAATAGCAGTAGAAATATTTGCGAAAGCTAATCCAAAAGGAATTTTGTTATTATTTATTAAAATCTATCCATTTAATACACTAGATCTTTAAATATAGTCTGTTGCCATTTTTCGAGAATGCATACACATGTTTGGAACACAAAATAAATAAGTGTTTTTCTTCTCCCTCATTTTTTTCTTCACAGTTCGACAGTATACGCAAGTTTATGTGCAAAGCCCTATTCACTTCAAATGTTCGGTTGACGAGATTCAGTCGGAGTAAGTAGTTTGGCTGATTGGCTTGTTTTCTACCCATACATTGTAACATGAGTTATTTTAACTTATCGCAGTATTTAAGGTTTTGTATATTTTTTAAAATATTTTGTTGCTGAATGTCTGCATACTTTAATTTGCTTTTTATGTGTGTATATATTTATTCTGAACGTCAGTGATTATTTAACATTCCACGTTCAAAGACAGTTTATTTTCTGTTTTCTTGTAATTGATGTTTTCACTCTGTTCGCTATCAGTTTTTATACTTTTCTCGACATACTTGAGTTTCGATTATGGTCTTATTGTTTTGCACAATTTATTTATTGTGTTCCGTTCTTGTGAATGTTATCAAAATTTGTAGTCATTCAGATGTAAGCGCTTATGTATAATTACAATTTGTTGAAGGAATTCTTTACTTTATATTCTTAGTAAAAGATAGACAGCAAATAATCTATGAAATAACTACTTCATAAGTATGTTTAGCTTCATATTTATATGACTAGTTTCAAAAGGATGGTTGCTTTATTTCACAATCTCCCTTTGAGCTTTCCAGTTTTTAATCTTTAGTTATATTTCTAGCTAAATATGATTTTTGAGATAAATCGTCAACCTATTTGACTAATGTATTTCATTGCCAACATGCCTATTTTTTACTAATTTAACCTTAACGGTTATTCCAATTATTGGTGAAATAATCGTGATTCAGACGAATATTTTGTTTTTAATCGTCATGTTTTACAGCCGTAGAGTAATACAGTGTCAATAAACTTGCTAATTGGCAAGTAGCTTAGCATCAAATTTCATGTTTCCTTTAGTAATCTTTATACCTCTTTGTATAAATTCAATTTATTATTGATCTTTGTGAGAATGTTATTCTCGACATTGGTTTTGAGGACATTAGATCTTAACAAAATGAACAAAGACGTGAATGGTATCTCATCTATCTGTCGATGTAGTTCATTACTGAACTGTACTTTTGAAGTACATCGAACAATCAATTTCTTAATTACTCAGTAAGAATTTTGAGATCCGTTTTATTTGTATTCGTATAATTATATGTAAACAATAGTCTCTTTTAATTGCTAGCTTGTTAACAGTGAATATATAAAGATATATACCAAGATTAACAATCTGAAAACGATCATTAATCCGTTGACTTTAAGCAGACAGGTATGTCGATGATATGTCCAAATAATTGATCGACACTGAAACTGCTTAAACATTTATTCAGTCTATTCACTTTCATTTATATCATATAGGAAATCATTTCTAACTTCATGACGTATTTTAATTTCGGCCAGCTCAACATCCAATATTTCTTTGAATGGACGTAGTTGTTTGCGTAATTTGATGATCACCAAAATTTAACATATACAACTATTGATAGGTTAATAGGCAAAAGTCAAGCATACATATTCATTCCAATAATAAATGTTGATTAGAAATAAAGATAACAGTATATGTAGTTACAATAAATCATGAATTTATAGATTGAATAAAGATAGTCAAAGAAATGAATGAAACAATTACGTAACTGTCCATTGCTTCATAAAACTTATAACTATTGTTTTATTCATCAAACGAAAAATAACTATTTCTTGTGGCGTTTTTATTTGAATTGAACACAAAGGTTTCAAATTGTTTACTGTAATTACTTTTTAACTTCTGTGAGATTTTTTAAAATGTTATCCAATAAATTAGATGTATAGATAGTTTTATTTACTTACCTAACATTGACATTTTTCCTATAAATCCGAAAAAATTGAAGCGCTAAATTAATATTTATCTAGTTATTTTCTAGTCATTATTTGAGTTACTTATTTCAGAATGATAGCTCAGTGACCAAAAACATTCCCGTGTAGAGATTTGAGTTAAACAATTTGTTATTTCTTCTCTGCTTGAATCGACGCACCTGGAACAGAATTTTTCGAACTTACAACTGAGAATTATTAGTAGCTTTTAGCAGAGAAGGTTTGAATTATTGTTAACTACATCAATCTATATTTTGTAAGCGAGTCTAATTCTATTGTAATCTTTAGAACATAGTAATTTTGTTCGTTTATTTATATTGGGGTAAATATTTGCCTAAAATTCGTTGCCAGTTATTAAGTTTTGCGTCTTCAACCTGAATCGCTGCTGGAGTTTCATCGGTTGGTAAGTTTATTGTAATTAATGCAAAATAAATCTGAAATATTGTATTGTTCAATCGATAGTTATTATTCACTGACCGTATAAATTGACTGCAGCATTTTTAAGCATCTAATTGAACAAACGAGTTTTTTGAAGGATCAGAGTATACGTGTTGCATGATCAGCTACAACGCTTATTTTGAAGTCAGACTAATTAATTAACTCTTGTACAACGAAAACTGACGTTTCATATGTTTGTTTAACTCTCTCATACTTTTTTCTCATAACTACTTTTTTGTGTTTGGGAATGTTGTTTAGAGAACGCTTTCCTATTCTACCTAGTCAAACTGGCTGGTGCAAAGTTTATCGACTGTGTCCAACGTTAGCCTATAATCGAGATAAAACTGGTGTTGCAATGGATGGGGATTTAAAACAAGAAGATACTAATCTAGCATCTTCCACAATGTAAATTTAATTGATTTTTTGAAAACTCTTTAATCACTCCTTTCAATTTTATGGAGAAAATTTTATTTAATCTTAGAAAATGTATTACAGATTTGTTGTAGAAAAGTATTGAATATATCTCAGCTGCTAATGCGGTTAAATAAATTTATCATCTGAAAAAATTAGTTCGAATATGGACAAGATTGCTAGTGTCACCAATGGCATCAATAACAGAAAGAATATTATTATGGAAAGTGTAATTGTTTCGTAGCTTAAACTTCTATAACCTTTGTTTCTAGCTTTGTTGACCCATAAGATTCTTTTCTTTAAATGTTATTTTGCGATTTGCTATTTTTGGACTATATAATTAATCTGCTTGATGTGGATTTCAGCTTATGGGGATACAAAAACTTCAGAATGACATATTTTCAATGCGTAATTGATGTAAATCACATGTTTACGGCTGTATCTTTGACATCAAAGGTTGTTCAATCTGATCTCCGATAAAGCAAATTATTCTTTGAGGTTTCATTGATTTCATTTCTTAATTAATATAGTTCTGATTTTCAGTTATTAACTGTAGTTTAAATTCCACCTCTTGACTAAATAGTATGTTCCTCCGAATTTCATAGTTTTTATAAATAAGCATGAAAGAAATTTTCAGTCACCGTTGTGCCAATAATTCTGTACTGTTGACATTTTGTTTCAGTAATATTTCTTATTACACCAACGTATCTTAATGGAATCACAAAATATAGATTGTCAGATTCTTAAATGTTTTCAGAAAACCAGCAGTAGTGATTATAAACTGAAATCGTCAGTTGAACAATTTCAAAATTACAGACTCCACTGAATAAAATTCATGAAGAGTTCTTTTTTATCCGATAACCCGTGGAAAAAATGATATGATTTCAAGTATTGTGATTGCTTATCTGTGCTCAGGATGCAATTAGTATTTCTTGACCTCATTAATAAATGTTTCTGTTGAGCTCAATTTTTTCTAACGCTTTAATTTGGGCGTCTATGTATGAGTAATAAAATCATACAGCATGTTATTTAAAAACATTTTTTATTTTAGTAAATACATGAAACAATGAATTTCAAACTGGAATTCAATTTTTAAACATGATCAATTTATCTGTGATAGCTTGGTATTTGTTTAAAGTATTCAGATAGCAAAGACATCTTATTAATTCATTTCAGTTAATTGCAAAATTTACTCAGCATCTTAAAAGTCTCGTTGTTATTTACTTCAATTTTTTTACCACACTACTGTTTGTTATTTACACATGGTACTATATTGTAGCAATTCACTTGAACCCTTTTTATATGTTACTAACAAACTCTCATTTTTGTCTACTACCTTTTATTATCAGTACACCTCTTAATTCAACTAATCGAGAATTAGTTGGAATTATTGTACAGTACAAAGTGAAAATACGATTAGTCCTTGGATTTGGTATCAGGTGAGTGTATTCTCGCGTAATAATCTATTTGTTTTTATTCTGCAAAATTTTAACTTTCGAGTTGTTGTGTGAACTAGCCTTGTTTAAATTAATTCAGTTTGTCAACTATTTAGATAGTTTAAACACCTAATCAATCAGCTTTATTATCCAGTTTAATTACAATCTATCCTTTTTCGGACTGGAATGTTGTTGGTGCTATGAGCCCTTCATCTGACATCGATGTTTTCCTTTTCTCCTTAGTTGAAGTGGTCACATTAATTTGGTGGTGGCATCATTAACACAGTTATATCTATACACTCATTGGGCTTTCTTTTAAAAAATATTCACTAAATCGGCATACAGCATTTTGTAGTTTTTATATTATGTTTAATCAATTTGGTGAGTGATTGCTCATTTCTGATTTTTCTAACTTCACGTGTTATAAAATGTTTTATAACTACCCTTCATAGAAAGCTTTCAAATCTTTAAGCCATTACTCTTTTTATACACAAGAGTTTCATTTTTTCTAATGTACTTTACTGATTATGAATACAAAATACTTTACAATCGATTTAAGGATTTTTTCAATTACATCTTTTTTTTATTTTACATTTTTAAAATTCAGTTGTAAAATCTCATACTTCTCATAAGAATGTACTTTTAAATTAACTTTTATCTTGATAGTTCAAGTTACTGCTGTTTATATGTATATATCCATGGTGTTTGGACTTGTGAAAGTACATTCAAGTGTGCATTACATGAATCACTTTCATATTTTTAAATTTACGTGATACTTTTCTTACAGTTTATTAACAACTTCTTGAAGAATTACATACTGATATTTTTCTTAGTATATTTCTCAACTTATATTCCATCAGTTTATCTGTTTAGAATAATAATAAGTTGGTTAATTCAATCATTTTAAACCTCTAGAATATGTGATCTGAATAGTACTACTTATTGGGCTATTGATTATATCCGTTGATTTTCTCAATACTGTTTCGACAACTTCATGTCACTGTATGGCTTACAATCTAGTTAATTTATCTGTTTTAATAGTCACAATCAGGAAATAATAATTACATCGATATTCATAACAGATTTTAATAACTCGGGAATGATAAGTGAACGAAATACTGCCTGGAGCTTTTCTAGGGTTACTCTCAATTCCAAGTCCAGATAAACGAACAGTTTCCGTACTGGCGTTAGCAACCCCACTCCGTAGAAGGAAACGTTGCTAAAATAAAACGTTAGTCAGAATTCCTGTCAAGTTAACATCCCCATTTTCAGTGTCCAATAAAAGTACATTATCTAACATTTTCGACCTGTTTTCCTTTTATTTCGTGAGTAAGTGGTGCACATAAGATGATGGTTTTCACTGAAGATTTCATTCCAATCATCTAAACCTATCTATTTATATCTTCTGTGAACACGACACCGTAACACATCTGAATCTGTCGGATGTTGAAAGCAAGTAAAGTGAAAGTTAGAGCTTGAAAGGAAATCGTCAGTGTAAATTATGGTTTTACGCACAGCACTCATGCACTAAATGAACGGAGAAATGGCTGGAATTACTTGATAATGCACACAATAAACATTGAAAAACGAGTGCGTTACAAAGTCATGCACTCATACCGAGTTCTCTGAATTCTAATACGTTTGCTCTAAGTGTACTATAAAACCTCTATATTTAGGTGTTGGGATATTCAGGAAAATATCCCAAAGATTATTCTGCTAATCCTAATGCTATCCTTGGACATGAAATGGTATCATCTTATTGGTCAATATTTATTTAACGTGTTATTTTCCTGTTGGCCATTACTGTACAATGTTATCTTCTATTTTATGGTACGCTGTGGACTGCTTGACTGGTATATAAACAAAGTATGTTTGAAATATAATGATTCATATATCCGAGGCTGTGACTTGTGTTCTGGACTCAATTGACTGGGCTAGACAGGGAAGCGAGACCAATCAGAACCCTAGGTCGTTCTACGTGTTTGCGCGTGTTTGGTCCGATCAATAATTCGCTATCCCTTAATCCGCAGCAATTATTTTTCACGTTATAACATTAGGTTCCGGTCACTTAGCTTAAACTAATATCATGTCTGTTTTATGTTTCTTCAGTGATGTTTGTTTGGAGCTGCCGTTCATTTTAACACATCCAAATCCAGATTCCTCTAACATGAATGGCGATAGACAAGATGATGAACTTATTTCATCAATCACAAGTGAACCATCATTAATTGAAAAAACACCAAATAAAGGAAATTCATTAAATTTGGGAAATGCTAAAGTCAATCCAGGTACATCGGAAATCAGACAATCAAATGCTCTTATGAATATAACTCCATTAAGTTTACAAAATACTACTGTTCCACAAATTAATCCAATTTCCCTGAATTCTCAACAAAATAATTCCAACGATCCTAAACATAGTGATGCAAATCGTCGTATGAAGTGAGTTTTTAGTAATTAATTCTTTTCATTTTTTTCCTCCTAACACACGAGTTAACAGTAGTCATATATGATATTGCAGGGTTTTTCATATGTGTGCATTACTAGGTTAATTAGGATTCCTTTACTCTATTCCTCCATTATTGTTATGATTAGAATAAAAAAAGTAATGAATTTAGTTCATTTTCATTCTTGGAGCTCATTAGTCTAATTGATTAAGCCATCATTCACCTAAACTACAAATCTTTCCTATGATCTAAGAAGGTAGTCGTTAATATCATGTCTCTTGGGGCTATTACAACGTATTTATCATACCTTATTTAACTTACGACCTTGGTTTAAAGTTGTAGTGAAAAGTATCCTAATACTAGTTGTTATTAATGTATTTTTTAAGTCTAGCTTACGCAGTCACGCGTTGAGTAAAGAGATCTAGGTTGTTTAAGTTAGTAAGTTGCTTTATAAGCTGACTTGATAAATATTAAAAATTTTCATTTATTTGATAGTAATATTGTTCAATGAGTACGTGTTTCGTTTTATTGGTTTTATCTATTGTGGTTGTAATTTAGTAAAAGAAATAAAACTTTATCCGTTAATAAGTTACATACATAAACGATGCTAACATTGTAATACACTATTTGCTCCATTAGTTGAATAGTGTCAGACAGATTCTATATTGAATAGCGTTAATTTATTTCACATATATTTCTGGTATTTTAACCTTTTTTTTGTACCCAGTGCTTGTTTACAAGTTATACATCAAAAAACTACTGGACATTAGAATAAGTGGTTTGTGGGGATTTGTACATTTTTAAAAATTTAGTACTACAGATTGTTTAAAAACCAGTTGGAACCATATATAGCTGTGTCGTTTGAGTTTGGAACTCTTTCCAGTTCTCCACAGTTCCTAATAATTTTCTCAGTTATTATGTTATTTACAGCACAGTGGATCAGCATTTAAAGTACTCAACTTCCATCCATAATTAGTCACAGTTATGAACCCTTTAACATTTGTTTTATTTTAAGCAAAAGATCAGCGCAACTAATCTTCAAATAAAGTGTTATGGAAGGCCGAATACATTAAACTTTACTTGTTAAAGGAGTTTTTTATTTTATTTACATACATAAACATTGGTACACGAAGGCACCAAATGTATATGCACCACACTTCATCAATCGATTCATACGAGGGATGGAATACTGCCCGGACGCCCAAACCGAAGCAGGTGGTTTTCTTAGAGGGACACTTTCAGAGCTTTTGACCTAGAGATCTAATCCGCAAGGCAGTGGAGCAACGTTAGGAGATGCAATTTCATGGTAGACGGTGACCAACAATGGGTTGATACGCCATTCGTTTCCTCATGTAGAAGATTAGTTTTTAAATAGGGTTTTCCAACTCCCCTAGCTGGATCCTCCATGTCCACCGACCCGGTTTAGGGGCCGAAAACTCGCTTCTCATCCTCTCGATTTCCTATACAACACTTCCACTCGCGGGACGCATTGGGTAGGACTTCCCTGATAGTGGTTGTATATGCGTGGACATATTAGAGCATTGCGAATGGGAGAGCTGACTCTACCTACCCTCGACCGTACCAGGGCATTTGGGGGTCTAAGGAGTTATATTACATCGTATTATTATAGTAATAGAAATTTACTTTAATAATCCAGCTTACATTTATTAGTCCGGTGTTCATTCGTTTTTTTTTCTATAGTGATTCAACCCAGTCACCACAATTTGTAAACAAAGCCGTTTGTTCCTATTCACCACCTGTATGGGATCGTAATTTTCATTTACTTTTCTCCGGTTTGCGACCATCAGCTCGACGCCCATCTACTGTTGGCACACAGTCTACCTTAAGTGAAGATGATTTATTATTTGAAGATTTTGCTCGCTTTCGTCTACAATCTTAATCTATTCAATCGATATATTATGATATTCTTCAATGAAGATACTTCTATATTATAGTACATTCATCTACCTATCTTAATGTTGGCCTAATTTATTTCGCAATCTTTTGTCATCATTTCTACCTCCCATTGTTTACTTTTTATTGGTTTTTATTATTTAATATTCCCTTTTTAGATTTTTATTTTATTTTAAATTGACATTTGTGTTTTACTAAGTGCACATTACTTATTTGTTTATTTGGATACATCTTCATCTTTGTTTTTTTCTCCTATTCGTTCTTTTGTTCCATAGTTCACGACTGGAATAGCACATACAATGTGAATTAAATTGTAAATTGCCTATTAAGCAGTTAGATTATACTGATTTTGTTTGTCTCCATAAAATCGTTTTTCTTTTTTCATATATAAAACAATTAAACAAAATGATAACATTGATATTCGTACTTCTGCACCAAAAGATTATCATCATTAATTATATTTATTCTTCTTATATTATTCAATATTATTAGTACTAATATTGTTATCATTATTTTTACGCTTATGTTACTTAGAGCTATTTTTTACTTCTCTGCCGTAAAAGTTCCAATTACCTCAAATAATTTTTAGCATGTAGGTTTTTATTCTCTTTTTTCATGTATATATATTTGTGTAGCTTTTTATGTAGTCTACTATCCGTGTAGTATTACATGTATCGGTGTATGTTTAGTATATAAACATGAAACAGTTTCACTTCCTTGATTATAAAGTAATAAAGCCATTAAAACTCTGCCTTTTTCTACTGATAAGCAATAATGAGAGATTTTTGTGAAGTGATATCATTGTAATTTAATATAAACCTTAAATACTTATACTAATGTTTGGTTTCGTTTGTGTACGAAATGATTTATCATCTTGAGAGGAGATTGCATTGTTTCATTCACATATGAAAACAATATTTGGCATTTTCGTCAATATTTATGTAACATGGAATGGAATTGTCTGTGAATGGTCGACAAGATAATAGTCAATAATTTTAAACATCAGCATCAGCAATTCGTTACAATAAATGGTTATTAAGTTCGTTTCTTGTTTCTTTTGTCATACTTTCATGTATTTACATTTGATAATCTTTATATTTTACTCTTACTGTTTAGGTGTTTATTGAACTTAATTTTATTTAATTGTCTCGATATGTGCTTGTAAAATAACTGTGTATGTTCAAAGTAAACTATTGTAATCCTGTGTATATCTTTCGTATATCTCGGTTGATCAACAAAAAAACACCTAGTTTTTTAATGTATGTTTTCTAATTCTTTGTTTTACACTATTGGTTTTTTCTGAAAAGAGAAAACTTTCATCATGACCATATATGTTACCATATATTTTGAATGTACTCTCTATTTCGTGTTAAGATATTGAATGTAATTAATTTAAGATAATGTAAATTAAATGATTAATTGATCATTTTATTTTGATGGAATATTCTGTTCTTTTTGTTTTCTCTCTTTCTCTCTTTCTACTATGATCATCAGCAATGCATTTAATTTTTGAAGTTTTTTCTAATTACTCTCATTCATGTTTTATTTATAAAAGTTGTGTTGTTTACTTTCTACACGATAATAACATTTGCATATCGTGGATATAAATAAATACAAGCAAATAAGAAAATTAAACAACATGAAGGTGTTCTTAAATCAACCTCTTTATTGTTTGTCTATGTTGCATTTTCTCGTATTTCTCATTTTGTTTATACTTTTTCTTCTATCTTGTTATATAATTGTTCTGTTATATTGTTCATCTTTCCTTTTTTTATATTTTTATTGCAACATGCATATATTAATTAACCTTAAATGAAATAGACGCACAATTTCTGTTAAATTTATTACTAGGGAATATATTTATGTATAAGTTTAAAGTAAATTATTATGATTCACTAATAAATTTTTGTTTAAAGTTGATTAGTTTTGTAATTTAATAAAACTGATTAGAATAACGCTAACTATTGAAAGTGATTAGAAATAAATGGGTTATGTGACTTGATTTATTTAATTTTATTGATGTATATAAACTTAAACAAAACCCATTCTGATGATAAGTTATTTACCAGTGACCATTCTTGGATGAAGCATTTATATCTCATATAATGTTTTTATTTTAGAAGTGGGTAGTAAATAGTATCACGATTGGTTTTGGTTATTAATTGTCTTCTGTCGATCAAGGTTGCACTGTGATCAACTATGATGGTGGCTAAATGATGGAAAGCGAATTTTTCTATGCTAGATGGTGTGAGGCGATTGCCAGTATTACTTTGACTTGGATCTTCATGAAATTCTAAACAGAAAAAGGGTCGTCTCTCCTTTGGGGGTTAAGAAGCTATACAAACGCAAATCGTTTGTACATTGTTGACAGCTAAGTGATTGAAAATCGGACTAATTTAAGCTTGTTATACTATTTGACAGTAATAAAGAAAGAAACGGATCTTTGTTATAAATAAAAAAAGCACTAAATGCTTTCACAATCTTCATGATATTCACAATGTTACAAACTTGACAAATTGTATTTACACCAGACTGAATTTCCTGGATTTAATATTTGATGGGATCATAGATGCATACTGTTGAGCGGTTTCATACTAAGACAAAAAGCTATCCACTAATTCCTAGTTTTAAGTGATCGTTTAACTACGATTAATCTTTTTTTGGTTCTTCCGTTTTTTTTCAAAAACAAAGTTAACAATTGACTTTCTACAAATAAATGATAGAGATGAGAAAAGTATATCCGAAAAGGATTCTTTCAGTTGGAGGAAGTCCTCTCACTTGTATAAAGAATGTTACAGCACTGCCGCAATTTACTTCTATTCTGAGCCATGTCTGGTAACGTTTCTAGCCACTGTTGAGTCATCTCTGAAACACCAACCGAGGGTTCGTGAAGGATCAACAGAAGCCAGTCCTGTACTGCTTTCATACCAAGGCAAATCTCTTGCGCTGACCATCTCTTCGCTTTTTCCAATCAGTCCCAGCATCGGAAAATAATACACGATATAGAATTCGATGGGACGACATTTGTAATACATACCGAAGCCTGTGTTTCAAGATGGTGAATCGAGTTGTCGCCGTGGCAGAACACACATCGCTGAACCTATGCATTACCAATATGGTGTTACCACTGGCTATCAGCAATCCTTCGGAGAAGACGATGATCAAGCACATACTGAACTTGTAGGGGCCAGGTTTCACAAACATAGATCAAGACTGCTCTCACCGACGCGTTCTAGGTGAGACCTTTCACAGTCAGACTAACATCACGAAGGCGCCAAAGATCACCCAGATTGGCATTAACCGCCCTGGCTTTCATCGATACCATCGCTTACGCCACCAAAAGCACTTATGCCGCTACCCAGATACACGAATTTCTCGACCACTTTTATCTGCTCACTACCCAGGGTGAGTGCAGACTAAAGGTCTAATCAGTCTTTGCACTTCGAAGGTTCAAATCACATTCCATACCTACGGACACTAATTACCTACTGACTAGGTATAGATTTCATGGTTTGGGTATTATCACACAGTAAAACAATATCATTCGCATACTCAAGGTCGAAAAGGCCTTCTCCAGGTTACACAGTAGAATCGACTGGATTTTTTTATTCACATCAGTTCTTTTAAATTGAATAATCACATATTAGTGACCAATATCATATTTCTATATTCCTCTAGCACTAATCGAATCCTATCGATCAGTTTGCAATGTGGCTACTAGCTTATATGACTCGATAGCGCTTGCATTATATTAAAGTATTATGTGGCTGATAGTGTTCTGCATGAAACCCTAGACCTAGATTTATTGCTGTTTAACATTTGCCTGTATTTTTTAGTGAAATGACGCATCCCTTAAGATTCAACTTACTGTTATCGTTGATTACTGAATAAAAATTCACACTATAAATGTTTATTAAACGTGTCTTAAAATTTCACTCTTTATTACCTAGTTTTTTTTTCTGAAATTTTTGTCGAAATTCGCCACATAATATACTCCGTTTTAATATGTTCATTTCTTGTCCTAAATTGATGTTATATTCTATTATAAATGTTAAATTGGATAGTTTTTTTTTAATACTTTTTCAGGTTGTTCATTCAGTATCTTGATTACTAGAGAGAGAGAAAAGTTTGTTTTCTTACTGAGAATGTTGTTGACTGACAATCATAATTCATAAAATAAATAGAAATTCTATTGACAATTACGATTATTTTTATGAGTATGAAATAAATTCTTAGAACGAAAATATTTATTTATTTACTTATTTAATAAATGATTCGCGTTTTTGTGTTCTATGTTGAATAATTCTTTATAAAGCTGTAATAATCATAGATATTCACCTTTAATCATTAATATTTTATAAAATTTCATTATTTGTCTTTTGATAAGAAAATCAATATAGAGTTGGTATACATCTAATTCTATCGATTAGTTCACATTAGACAGTTTTATTTTCGATTAGGTTCAATGACTGAAATATACATCAGGTAAGAATTTAGGTATCACCAGTTATAATAATGTACATTCATAATAAATAACCAACAAAAAAAACATTGTCCTGAGGCTATTCTTTATAGGATTATCTCCTATTTCATGTTTTATGTAAGGAATAATAGAATTTATTTAGGTGGTTATCTGGGATTTTTGTACAATAATAATGATTTTCAAAAACTGACATCAGCTATCAAGTTATCAGAAAATGGAGATTGTTGAACAATTGTTCTAATAGCAGACAGTAGGTCATGTAGGTAACCACGTCGAATATGTCACAGTTACCAACATAGCAAATGTGTTTGTACTGCATTGCGAAGTAACTACATATGCATGTATATCTCATTGGATTCTGATTGCTGTGAAGGATTCTCACTGTGCACAAGATCACATCATGGGTTCATAGATGTTCACTGTTGAAGTATTTCGAATTACAATAAAACAGGTATCTTTGTTTACAAATTACAATAATATAATGTAACAAGTTTTTGATGTCTATGATACAGATTCTCAATTCTTACGTTTTTTACTAGTCTTAGTGTACAAACCATTCAAACGGACTAATTAGTCTATTTATTGTTGTTAGCTGAGTCATTACGTTATATTATGCTAATGCTTCAATGATTAAGATTCTAATTTATTACCATGTAAATATCATTCTTTTGAGTAAACTAACAAATTATTTGCGAATTTAGTTGTAACCACTCAGTCAGTCATCTACAGCGTAGGACCAAGCACATATGTGCATCGGTTCAAGTTGCTATACTTCATTAGCACAACAAGATGAACACCAAATTCATAGAAGTAGTCACTTCAGTGGTAGATAAGAAATACATTCCATTTAAGGATATGATACAACGAGAAAGAATTAATTTGTAGAAAGTGAAGTATGAAACGATTTTAATCTCGCGGTTTAGGGGAACGTAAAGAATATATACACTGACGCCATTGTGATCGATTCTGAGCCATGTCACACAGAGTCTCCAACCATTGGTTACGATAGTGACGCGGACCTCAAACAAGTATTCTGTATCTGCCAACATGGCTCAGACTAGAAGTTAGTGACTTCAAGCACTGATGCCACATTTTGGTTTGGCCGCCCCTAACTTTCTCCCAACCATCTCCAACACTAGTCAGCATTGCGCGTCGTGGTAAACGGTGTCCAGGTATGTGTAATACGTATCCCAATCATCTCAGTCAATGAAGATTCACAATCTCAATAACTGATTTACCATAATTCCCTAATATTCTGTGTCTAATCTCACTACTACTTACCCGGTGATCCCAGCAGATGCGAGAAATATTTCTAAGGCATCTGTGGTCAAATACTAGTAGCTTACGAGTATCTTCTACAGTTAATGGCCACGTTTCGCAGCCGTAAAGTAGGATAGAATGAACTGCTGCGCAGTATACTAGTCCATTACTTAATTGATAGACGGATATCTCGCTTTCGTCATAGGTGACGTAAGTTGGCAAAAGCCGAACGAGATTATCGAATCCGTGCAGAGATGTCGTCAGACACCAACACATTAGGGCTGATCAGACTTCCAAGATAAGTGGAGTTGTCAACGCGTTCGACTATTTTGCTCTCTATCCTTAGTTCAGGTGTTGGCGCAGACCAGTCCGGGAGCAACAACTTGCGTTTAGAAGGGGAGAAACGCATCCCAAACATTATGGCATTGTTGTTCAGTACTACCAGAAGACTGCATTTTATCAGCATATTCACCAATCAGGACTATGTTATCTGCGTATTCTAAGTCGATAAGTGGACCTCCTGGTTGGAGATCGATGCTCGAAAATTCACTTGACTAGAACATTGTCTATGATGAATTTAAACAGAAATAAAGAAGGTGGACAGCCTTTAAGGACACCACTTGAGGTTGCAAAAACAGATGACAGTTCGCCATAAGCTGTCACTCGATTATAGTGTTCGAGTCAAGAACTCCAGCCACTAACTTCCTATATGATTTAATAAGATTGTGTTCATGTGGTTTACTATAGAAACTAACTTGTAACGAAATGAGTTCACCGGGTTAACATATAGTTTGAAATGGTTAATCAAACACACTTTACATTAAGTAGAATTTCATCAGCAAAATTTATTTAGAATTGAAAGGACTACTTTATTATGTGAAAACGTTTAACATCATATGAATTACAGTTACATTCCTTTAGCTTATTTTATTTATTTACTCGGATTATGTTCTTATGAACGAAATGCTCAGTTCACTTGAGTCTTTTTAAAATAATATCCGACTGTTGGTCAGAATAACGTTCTACTGAATAGGCAATAAATAGTTTGTTTGAAGTTATATTTAAAGTGTAATTCATAAATTCAATGTTTATCAGATATCTCTTACAATGTAACTGTAAAATCTATATTTGCACTTCACATTGGGTGTTATCTAACAATTAACTCGAAATGTTAAACATCTTATTGGGTTATCTGTCTAAACGTCATCAACGATTAATTAATCTTATTGATCGCACTATTTTGTTTATCTACCTT